CTTGGGTTACTTGGAACAAGTGGATTGGAAAAGAGATGTTTATAGTACATTAAAAGAACAGTAAGAGTTGTAAATGGCTGAAGCTGAAGGCCTAGTGATCCGAATTTGTAGTTTGGGGGATGAAAAGGGAGGTTTACCACAGTATGTACAAGACCTCCTCCTGTAAGTAACAGATCACTTCCAACTATGAAATGGATAAACGGTGTTAGCTATAAAGCAGGAGGGAAACTGAGAGAATCAGGCTAAGGCTGAGCTCTCTACAATTTGAACTTTCAAAGTTGTGAAGAATTGGGTAGAAAGGAAAATGCACAGTTACAAAGGAATAGCCTCAACTTACAGAGGTTTAAACCTGATAAAGCTGAGTAGTAGAACCAAGTAGTACAGAGGAAATTGGTGAATTATGGGGGAACAAGTATCATTTAACTCTGCAAATAATGTACCCAGTGGAAATGTGAACCTCCTGTGGCTCCTGTCATTAGACAAATGCATACCATTCTGCTCGTGCACAAGGGGTGGCTGGGCAGGACAATCCAGGGCCAGCCAGTATGATTGTCAGTGGCACAAGAGGTCCATGGATGCTTGGGTAACTCCCTGATCCAATGGGATATATGGGTTTTTACTTTCTCCTTCCCTGAGGAGCTGGAACCCTTCTGGGGATCATTAAAAGATTCTGGCTTTAAGAAAAACAACAGTTTGGGCACAGGGGACAGGCCAGGTGACAGTTTCAATGCCATCCAACATGGCATTCCACCCCCCTCCCCTGAAGTTAGGCACTAGGGGCAGCAGCACTCGGTGGTGAAGGGGGCTCCGTGCAGGGGAAGGGGCTGAGATAACATTCAGACCCTCCTTCCACCGGAGGGCCAGAGGTCAGGCTCATTCACCGGGGCAGCAGGAACTTTGCTGTAAATGTTTCCGTTCACACTGAATACGCTCTAAATGAACTACTCAACCACCACTGACTGAAATATTTAAGGATAAAGAAAGTGGGGAAGGCTGGCAAAACGGAGACACCCCCCCAGCCCCGTACAGATGCTGGGGAGGTGGAGTTGCTCTGGCTCCTGCGACGCACCCGGGGATTTCTCCCTAGGAGATGTTCCTGAGAAGATAGTGCAGGAGGGGTGGGGAGACTCTCCTATTGCTCGGAAAATGTCTCTCCCACCCCTGTTTCAGGCTATAGTTCACTTCACCACTTCACACTACAACTACTCAGGAGGCTGGAAGGACCCACAGTGAACCTGGCCAGAGTAATTTACTCAGCTCCCTGCAAACTGCGGGCAAAGTGGTGCTGAGAGACAAGAACAACAGATACTCCTGCCCTTGCTCGTGTGCCCCCTCAGTGGCCCACCCCAGCAAAGGGGGGAGGATTGCAGCTATACGACGGGATTGGTTTGCTCCAAATTTTAGATTGGCTTGCTCCAACTTTTTCTTGCGCATGTATTTTTCAGTTATTTGTCTATTCTCGATGTATTTGGAGAGCAATGGATTGCTTTAGTGAAGTCACTGAGCTAATGACAGCATCATTAAAATGCTGCTATATCTAAAGATACGGCTAATACTGGAAAAGGAAAGTTGAAGCACTTTAATATGTGATTTCCCTTTTTTTAATAGTTCACATCAGCAGAGGCTGTCGCTCGGCTGCTCCCTGTCCTCACCTATAGCCATAGCAATAAACTACTTCTGCTCTGACCTGATCTAAACTACAATTTGGATTATTTCCACGACAGCATCTGGTGCCGCGACTGGGATTCCCACATCCAGGCTGCAGCTGGTTGCCAGTGTAAGTGCTGGGGCACAGGGAGCCCACAGGCGGGAAGCTGGGCATCAGGATCTGCTGCGGCACTACAGTCTTCGGAGGATCAGCGGGCTGCTGGTAGGTGTAACCTGTGTGTTTGGGAACATGTAGGAGGCAGAGCGCTTTAAGTCTGGAGTAAGGAAGATGTAAAGTGGGAGTAAGAGCGATGATGAAGAGCTTGTGTCCAAACTGAGAGGAGGATGGGAGGGCTTGGGATGCAATTCTTTGGATCAAGAAATCTGGATCAATCCAAGGAGATGACATCTGCGTTAGGCCACTTAGGTGACTGAATGCTATGCAAGCAGCCTGCAGGGATGTCTCTTGGTGCTTGTCTCTAATATGCATCCCCACACGACCGTTGAGAAGGAATACCCTCTAGAATCCTTCAGCAGGGGAGGGAGGCTGATAGACTGATGTGATTACGTTCTAACAAGCCATAAAATCATAACAAAGTCCCAAAGGAAAACCTGAGCGGCACTTCAGTAGCCAAAAAGCCAAAGGCTGCAGGCACATGTGCATTGCTGGTCACGGCTCCCTGCTCTGATGGGGGGGCGAAGGCGGGAGGCTGCCGAGAGCCGCGTGCTCTGGGTGGGTGGCTCTGGCCTGGGGGACATCTGTAAGGTGCCACTGAGCGAGGCGCTAAATAGCAGCAGCCGTGGGAGCCACTCCTGGTGCAGCACCCGAGGGCTGCCGGGTGGTGAGGGAGTCCCCAGAACTCGTTTTAAGGCTTTTCTTCTTGCAGCCATAATTTCAGAGTGAATTTTCCCTTCGCATGATGTCCCCCCTGCTGCTGGCAGCAGGGATGCTCCGCACCAAGGGGCGCCTGGCTGAACCCAGTGTGTGCGAGCCAGAGATTTCCCCTTGAAGTGAATCGGCGTTTCTGTTCGTCCCTCTTTCTCACGGGCAGAAGGAGGCGAGCTATTTCCCTGGCCAGGCTGCAAACGCCCGTCGGGACTAGCACCTCGAAACCGGTTTTATTTTTACAGAGCCGCTCCCCGGGGTGCCATGGTGAGCGAAACCACCCCCCGGCTTGTTTTGGCGG